ATATTTGGTAAAACTTTATACAGAGGTTCCTATACGTTTTTATAAAACCTAACACAATGTTGAATGAGATTTTGTAAAAAATTGTTGCCTAGAACATTGGGAGCAGATGTATTCCCCTTGGAAGGAAGGTCAAATGTCATTCGTGTGTATATGGAATGCTTCTGAGAAGCTGATGACGCAACCTCGCGATAAACCGCAACCGACCAGAGGCCAGAGTGCCCCTCGGGAATAGCTTTCATTCGCTCCACTACAGCCGACATGTGCGCAGCGTTCCTTCTCAACGCACTTCTGTTATGTCTAGGTTTGTGTCTGATATATCGCTAGTCCCTGTAAAGCATTCCAGTAAAGCTGAAGTGCAGAAGAATGCAGGAAAGAAGAAAACGGAAATCGCTATGCTTTAACATGGTGACTTCCATTTTCATGTTCCTCGCATTCTTCTGCATTTCAGCTTTACCGGAATGCTGTATTGCAACACTAGAAACGAAAGTGTGTGAATGTCGCACACTTGTAGGTGTGTGAATATCCATTCGTACACTTAGGAGGGTAAACGTGTGAATCTTTTCTACAAAATTCACACGTTTCGTTTACCCCCGTAAGTGAACGAATGGATATTCACACACCTGCAAGTGTGTAACATTCACACACTTGCGTTTCCAGTGAAAGCACGCGCGGCGCTCCGGCGCCGGCGAAACCACGAAGAGTTCTTAGGCGCCAGCGAAACCCCGCAACTCCATTTTTGGGGTGATTTTTCAGACCTATACCGTTGGAAAAAGGAGCATACCGCTCGATCTGTCGACTGATTCCTCAGAGCGCTCAAGGATGTTTTACTCTCCCACCCCCCCACCTAAGGGTCGTTCAAAGAGGCCATACGGCTTTTCGTAATAAAGATGAACTGCACAAGAACGCGAGGAAAAAGAACACGGAAATCGCTATGCTTTAGCATGTGATTTCCGCTTTCTTATTCCCTGCATTCTTCTGCATTTCAGCTTTACCGGACTGCTTATTTCTATATGGGCCTGGGTCTGGAGCCACCATGGGTCCATGGGTGCCTGCTCAACCTGGTCTCCGTCACTGTGTCGCAAGTAGCCACCGCGATCGGTTATTCCCCGGAAATGTAACGGCCTTCCTAGATGTCACCCAGACATACCCCAAATGTTCCCCGGGTATCCTTCGGGTACCCTCCTGGTATCCCCCAGATATTCCCCCGGGTATTCCCCGTGTACCCTTTGTTAGGTTCACGTTGGGCCCCCGGAACGCATCTTGTCTTGGGTTTACTTCATGAATACCCTTTATTTCCGAGTCAAAACCCAAAATTAGTTACCAGATTCGAAATTTTTGGGTGAATAGGGTAAAAACAAGTCTCATAAACTCAGACTTGTCAGACTTGTCGACAGCATCGCTTCCAGCTCCCCAGGTAGTTCTCATTTGTCATTTACTAGTGATATTTTGACTTTTTGAAGTTATTTCGGAGAAAAATGTCACTGATTATACAAAAGATTATATAAGAAATTATAAGATTATAGAATGATTATAGATAAAGATAATAAAAGATTAAGGGTTATACGTGATTATAGGTGATTATAAGTGATTATATGGTCGTGTACTTTTGATTATACGAGTTGTAGACCCGTCGTTGACATCAAATATGGTGTTTCGGCAGTTTGTAGGCTGAAATGAATTCAGCACAGAGATGAACGCTCCCAATCGGTCGTCGCGTCGTGGTCCGTTCCATGATGTGAATCTGTAAAATACCTATCGACTAGTAAATTTACGGCGGCCCATTTTTGCTCCTCGTAAAATTACAACTTGAAGTTGTAAAATTACAATCACTTCCTATCGACTTGGAATTAATCGAGCAGCAAAAATGGGCCGCTGTAAATTTACACCATTATTTTGTAATTGCAAATGACAAGAAATGTCGCAACTTAACGAGGAAATTTTTCACAGTGGCCGGGACCGGGGCCCGGGACCGGCTCGCATCAGTGCGGGCTAGGGTTCGTAGTTTTCCGGGAAAAGAAAATCGGTGGAAAAAAAATCGGATGTTTTTCCGATTCTTTTCGGAAAAATTGGAAAACAATGGTTCTTGTACATAAACAAGCTTTAGATAAGACATAGGTGGTATAGAAGTACTTGAATACACCCAGAAAAATCATTTCTTGTTTCAAGTGCATTTTGCACTCCTAAAAGTGACACAAGATTAATTTTTTCTTGGCGCAAGATAAAATTACTTTCCGATGAAGAAAATGTTCTTACTCCAAAGGAAAAATCTTCTTGAGTCGAGGACAAATTAATCTTGTGTCAGTACAAAATGTACTTGAAGCAAGAAATCATTACAGTCAGTGGCCTATATTTCGGACATGAGCCCTAATTTCGGACAAAATTGAGTCTTTGGCTTTAGGCGACCGTAAATCCGATAGTTTTTCACCAATTTCAACTTTCGGGAGGTCAAATGAAAGGTGAAAAAGTCCTCTTTAACATACGACTGGTGCGGTCCCAATCCGACTTCTCCCTATTGAACGGCACGCGCTTAAAGTTAAAAAACCGCTCGTGAAATATGTGCGACAAAAATCTTTGTTCAACTTTTCCTGGTCAGCACTGACGTGCCGTGTAAGATAGGAGTCTAGTTTTTGGATATAGTATACTAGCACTATTTCTGAGCATACTCCATTTTTCGAATTGGTGACGCGGACCGTCGTTTGGTTTCTGTGGACAAAATACGAAAAGGCCCCAATTTCGGACACTTTTGAATCGGCCTTCCGTTCCTTCATAAGGTACCAATTAAAGTTCTATCTGTAGGTAAACACATCATTTGACGACCCATAGGGCCACTGACTGTAGTCTGCACTGCAAAAAATTAGAGTCTGATACGGAACGATCTACAGCGTTACTGTTGATGCCGCTCTTAGTCACTGCACCTAGGGTACAGAGCGCGGAGTACAGTGTTGCTGTAGCACCGGAAAGCCCAGGTTTTACACGGTACAGTGTACGAATACGGCTCCACTGTAGACAGTTTTGTCCGGTGTTGCCTGTACAATGGTCCTGTAAATTGCTCCCTGTACCAGATTTTAACCATTTAAACTACAGCGATGCTGTTATTCGAATAACAGACGTTCCTGGAAAATAATTAGCGGTCGATGCTGTAATTTTTCCTGTCATAATGTTTTGCAGTGTGGGTGTACTCAGCTGGAAATGCTGCATTTGTGTTTTGGAATACGTAGTACGCAAAAAAGCCATAAGAGTCATAAATCCTAAAAAATCCCAAGTCATAAATTTAGTTGTAGTTGTAGTACGAATTACACTGATGAGCGTCAGAACAAAACGAATTCCGACAAGCTGAAGAGAACGATCAAATATTAGAGTCAAATTATTAGGGCCTAGACACCTTTTTATGGCGCAAAACGTCCGAAACAAATCTAATTCTTCGTCCGTCATTGCGCAGGGGGAGATTTTACGTGTGTTTTTCACTGAAAAGGTTCGGATAGGCTAAATCGAGTTTTCCAATTTTTCCGACCCCTAAGATTTTTTTCCAAAAAAAAAAGCGGATTTTTTCTCATTTTTCTGGAAAGGAATCCGAACGGGCGAACCTTAGTGCGGGCCCGGAAAGTGGGACCAACCAGGACCGTTTCTCATCTCTGATCCAGCAGCCGCTCGATCGTTCCTTGTCCGCTGCTTCGCTTGCCCGAAATACCCTATTCGGTCATGTGGTTGTATAGTTTTTAAAAGTTGTTTATTACAGTACTTTTCAGGTGTTAGCCGTTCAAAAATGTAAATTGCTTTTGCCTCTTTTCTTTCTTATTAATTGTGTCTTCCACGAGGGGTCCCTCACTAAAAAACTCGTTTTACACTAGAAAAAATACTTGCAAGAAACTCGCGGATACTCGTGACAACTCACGGAAAAATCGAGAAATACTCGCGGATACTCGCCTAAACTCACGTTTACTCGCCAGTACCCTCGAATACTACCCGCGGACACTCGCAAATACTAGCGATACTCGTTGTACACCCACTTGTAGAGTGGCCCCTCGGTCTTCCATATCGAGTAGGGTTGTAGGGTTTTGCACGGTGAGAACCAAATACGAAACCTAACCGCTGTTTCCCGCAGGTCCGGTGTGGGCACATGCCACTCAGCCAGGGCCCGCCTTGCTGTTGGGTCGGCTGCTCGGGCCGCGCAACCACTTGACGCTGGTCGCTCACCTGGAGCAGTCACCTGGGCAGCGGCACACCGTCACCTGTCTGGAGGTGGCAGAGGCGTCGCCGACCTTCAAGTGAGTCTCTTCAGTCGCATCAAAGCCAGATCCGGTCGCATCAAAGCCAGATCCAGTCGCACCTACTTTTGCGCTGCTGTGTATACTACCTGTAGTCGTGAGGAAGAAGAGCACTCCAAAACGTACACTCAAAATGTAAAGGAATATGTTAGACAGACCACTAAAGTCTCTACCAGAGGGCAAAGTCCGCTCCCCCTCCTCACTCTCTATATGGGGTAATTGTTTACTTTAGTGACTCCTCGCCCTGGAGTCACTCAAGTATACCATCGGAAAGGTA